TTTCTGAAGTAATTGGCAGGCGGGATTGTAAAGGGACATGCATTTTACGGGCTCCCTTTAAGAGATTTTTCAACAGAAAGGAATTAATTGTGTCGGGGTAACCTAACAATTTTTGAACAAAGGCAAGGACAGATGCGTGTGATGCTATGGTACTTGGTGCAAAACCTGAATCAAACATATGAGCAAAGTAATTAATAACAAGTTGATTAGGAAGAGGGAAGCAAGGGGACAACTGTCGTTCCTTACAAAAATCGACAAACCTCACCCATGCTCGGAAATAATTTGCTTTGGATGATGGGGTCAAAGCTGCACCAATTAATGTAAGTGCTGTTGGAGTTAAATCTTCAAAAGATCTTGATTCAAAATTTGAGGGTTGGTCTCTAACCATGGAGCCCAATGTCTGGCTTGCTGAAATTTAAAACGGGACAGACAATCAGCAACCAGATTTGATTTGCCTTGAATATGTTTAGACCTGATTAGTATATTATATTTTATCGCAGCTAAAATTAAACGACGGATTAACTTCATTAAATGTGGACATTTGGAGGTTGCTTTGTTGATAACAAACACAACACACTCATTGTCAGATAACACAAGCAATTTATGATTTCGCAATAAGGGACCCCAATGTTCAATTGCAAGCACAATTGGAAAAAGTTCCTGAACGTTAATACTCATAGTCTGCATTTGTGGAGGCCATGTGCCGTAAAACCATTTGGAATTCAACACCGCTGCATAACCCTTGGACGATGCGGCATCGGTGAATAACTTCAAATAATCTGACGCCAGCCAGGCATCACTCATAAACATGCATCGACCATTAAATCCCTGCATAAACTGGTGCCAAATCCTAATATCAGCTTTGGCTGAGTTATTTAATCTTACTTTGTAGTACGGCTTAGCAACCCCGATGGTAAGGTCATACAGTCGGCGAAGGAATGTACGTCCCGGAACAACTACCAACGTGACAAAATTTAGAAGGCCTAGCAGGGATTGGAGTTGTTTAAGTGTCACTTTACGTTTATCTAGACATTCAGACAAAGCAGCTCGAACTTTGATAACTTTTTCGTCCGGTAAGCGACTCACCATTTGAATAGAATCAATTTCGATTCCATAAATGGTTATTGTTGTTGTGGGATTAACAGTTTTGGAAGCTTTAATGGGAATATGTAAATATTGGGTAAGACTCATAAAATTTTGCAAGGAATCTGCACAAACGGAAGTGTTAGGTGGGCCAATAAAGAAAAAATCATCAATCATGTGACTAATAAATGAATTGTATTTGGTTTCCATTACCCAATGTAACGCTGTACTGAATCGCTCAAAAGTCTGGCAACTCATATTGAGGCCCATTGGTAAACACATGTCCGCAAAATAATAATGTTGTCCTTCCACCTCGACGGAGAAACCCAAAAGCTCATAATCATCAGGGTGGATGGGCAATAACCTATACGCATTTTGAATATCAGTTTTGGCCATGAGTGCACCTCGACCATGTTGCTTAACCAGGGAAACGACTGTGTCTATGGAGTCATAATGCACTTCGGTATAGAAAGGGTCGATTCCAGAATTTACAGAATTGCCCAGGGGAAATGACAGATCATGTATCAGGCGAAACGTATCTTTCTCCTGTTTGGGAATCACTCCAAGAGGAGAGCAACGTAAATTTGGAAATGGGGGTTCTAAAAAAGGGCCCATGATTCTCCCGGCTAGGAGCTCATCATTGATTTTCTTAAAAAGTATTTCCAGATTTAAATAACAAGATGAGTGATTCCTAGCCCAGGAGAAAGCCCGTTGTCCAACATATGGAATCCTGAAACCAGAAACAAAACCTTCATACAAAAATTTTATCTCATTTTCGTTGTAACCCGACAACACTTCCTGAAGTCTACTGGGGTCGATTGGTGTTGGCACCTTTACTTGCGGGTGGATTGTCTTTACGAAATGAGTACCGAGATTTTGACACTGGCAATCCTGTTTTGGCGTGCGGTTGTTTGGATGGAAGCTGTGTAGATGAAGAAAATAAAGGAGAGGATGAGAGTCGTGGCGGAACTGTATTCTGAACCGCCGCAATGTGCGATGGCATATTTGTGAACGTAGCGGGTGCAGAGGTAGGTTGAAAGTTCGCTCTGGCAGCTACAGCTGTCTGAGGACGAGAACTAGGCATGGATGGATAGGAAGAGGCAGCATATGAGGCTGGGTTCATGTAAGTATGTTCCACCCTGGTCCCATTTAAGGGAGGACTCCTAGGACGAACATTACCATAACGTGACGTTTGGTTTGCTGTAGCATAACAACGAAATGCAGGATGTTTGTATCCACAGCGACTACAAACATGTGAAAATTCACAGCGTTGACGCTTACATCCAGACATTCTGTTATAACCCCAACAACTAGGCCCCCGACCACCAGAACCCTGGTTGTAGGAAGCTTGGGAGGACACAGGCCTGAGAACCGAAGCACTAAACAGCGTGGTAGCTTTTAGCCAGAAATCGGCATGCATTATATCCCAAGGGTAAGGGCTTGATTGGCGTAACATTCTAAAATTAGTATCGTAATAATTAAACGATTTCCCGCCATAGGTCTGTGCTAACTCAGATATCAAAGATGAATATACTAACAAACTGGACGCCATGTGCGGATTTTTTAGAATCATGACGTCCATGAACACGGCAAATGCTTTCTGCCATTGATCAAACGAAAGCACTTTTGATTTAGGTGCAGATGAAATTTTTAATACCGGTTCTTCATTAAATTCCGAAATATTTAGTGCAAACTGAGTTTGCACAGGCCCAGGCAAGAGTAGAGCAAAATCTACAAATCTATCCGCCCAAATATCTTGGCGGAGTTTATCAGATAAGTGACGAGACACCGACATACCTGTACCCTGCATGTGTGGATGTTGAGGCACAGTGTCCAATAGTTGTGGCTGGGGTACAGGGCATTGAAACAATTGTGCTGCGTTCACAGAAAAAATATTCGGATCTGTAGAAACAGCTGATGGTTCATTGATGGAGGTTGAAGTTGATGGTTCTGGCGTGGAGGTAGAAGCAGTGGTCGAAGATGAAGATCCCTGAGTGGAGGTACACGTAGTAGCAGGAGGTGTGGGAACTGATGCAGGTGCCGGGGGTACCATGACCAAACCCCTTCGTAGCAATTTTTTGATTAACAACTCGGTGATCCGCTCTTCTGCGGTGGTAATCATAGGAGTGGATGAATCCTCCTCACTGTCTGAAGCGACGGGTTCAATGGGCGATTGCCGCTTTCTTTTTGACATCTTGTGACTGCAAAAGAAAAAACACAATTAACTCACACTGCCTGGAAAAATTGCAACTGTCGAGTTGCATCTAACAACCGACAACTCGGGTAACAGTTAAGCAATTCCCAAAATACATGGGTTATGCCAACAAACAAGTCTGTTCTACAAACAAATCAGTTTGTATAATTCAGATATCATCAGTCTGCTTAATCCAAAAACCTGGACTAAGCCAACAGACAAGATTATGCATAGACAAGTTCAACAGACAAAACAGTCATATAATATTCAATTCATCAGTCTGTATAAGACAATTTCAACAGACAAAACAGTCATATAATTTCCAATACATCAGTCTGTATAATCCAAAAACATGGACCAAGCCAACAGACAAGTTTATGCATAGACAATTCCAACAGACAAATCAGTCATATAAATTCCAAAACATATCAGTCGGTATGCCAAACACATGGATTATACTACCGGTATGAGGATTTGCATCAAATTACATATCTATAACACACTGTATGATTGTAAATTATAGAAAGTGGCTACTAACCGGGAAATACCAACGAATATGCCGCAATAACGCATCCCGGATGCTGCGCATGAATAACAGATTGCCCACTGTATTGGACAAGTGAATGCCGTCGTTGGTGTAAATATGTTGCCTTGGTTGCCACAACCCAGCTCGATGTCGCCAAAAACTCACATCAAAATTAGCCGCATGGCATAGTTCCATCAAATGTAAATTAGTGGATTTAATTGCATTATTAAATCCCTCGAACGGCTCAATAAATCTTGGTAACAGCTGGCTGATAATTACACATTTGGGGTGATGCCGAGTCATAAGCAAAGCGGCAAAATTTAAAACAGCGGAGGCTACTTCATATGGCAAAGACTCGGGTGATTCAATATCGTTCGAACCTAAATGTAAATAAATGATGTCTGCCTGTCTAAATTTGCTGCTCTCTGCCGCCCGAACCAGTCGTCCATGCGGGTCACTTCGGACTCGCAACCCGCCATGACCCCAACAACGAACTTGGCACAAATTCCCATCCAAATCTAAATTTGAATGTCTGTAAGTAGTTAAAAAAGTATTTAAACGCTTGATATACGATGTACCATAAATCACTATTTTAAGTGGGCTGGACAATACCCGATGTTCAATATGAATGTGTTTATTAACTGTAAACAAAGCGTCAGGCTTAACCGATGTGGCCGTATCACACGCCATGATGGATTCCAAAACGAGGCAGCCACAATAGATAAAGAAAACGATTCTAAAATCCTATTTGTTCGATTACGTTACGAAACACATCGAAAACGCTTTAACAACATAAATCTAAAACGTGCAGAACTCACGATCAGCATAAACAAGCACTAATACACCACTAATACACCAACCACACACTGTATTATTAGAAAATATTGTTACAATTTACACATAACTTGTCTGCCTCGAAAATCTTTCTGTTATGAAGAGCGGGAATAAAAAGCGGGAAACTAACTCATTTGCATAAGGTGTATACAAAGAACATACAAGGACTGCACATGGTATGTCCAAACAACAGACGAGGAAAGACTACAACACAAAGATCATTATTAACATAATGTTTATATGAATAATTGGACACATAGTAGAAATTAATGCTATTTACGCTAGATTAAACAGTACCAATGTTACAGTGACAGTAGGACGTTAAACCCCATTTCACTAGATTTATTTCTAATTATTATTCAGATTGAAGGTCAGGGTCATGGAGCAGTATTTGATTGTAAGTTTTCACCAGATGGTCTTAGAATAGCAGCTACAGATTCACATGGTCACCTTCTTGTCTTTGGTTTTGGTGATGGATATAAATTTAAAAAGGTAAACTTTAGCTAGATACAAGTATAATCAATTGAAAACTTGCTTGTTAAAAGGCTAACAAGTCATCAGATGTGAAGTCGCATATATAGGGCCTGCTAGATGTTCACAGTTGTGTAGTTCTACATTTGTTTATTTATGATTTTAGGTTCCACAAGAACTTTTTTTCCACACTGATTATCGTCCTTTAATCAGAGATACCAACAGTTATGTATTAGATGAGCAGACACAGCAAGCACCTCACTTAATGCCTCCACCATTCTTAGTAGATATTGATGGTAACCCATACCCACCATATTTACAACGACTAGTACCCGGTAGAGAAGAATGTGCAGCAGATCAACTTGTACCTCATGTAGCTTATAATGAAGATGGTAGGTTCTAATGCTTAATTTCAATATCTTTATGTTTATTGTAGCTTTTGGTTAAAACAGTTCCTTAAAGATACATTATGGGAGATTAGATAAAGAGCTGGCAGTTCTCACTATAATAGTTAAAAACTAGATAATGTAAAGGGAATTTGCTGAAAATTTCAGTTAAATTGATCCACTCTGAACCAAGATTTTAGTTAATGTCTAATTAATAATTAAGATAACATTTCAAACCTATAGAAAGACATGCAATAGGCACACTTTTTGGGACACAATAACTCTCTTTCTAATTGGGCTAGTATGTTCAAACTTGGTGTATATGTTTATTAAGTCAATGCCTTGAAGAAGTTTGAAGATGAGCATTTTCTGCTTAGGGTAAGCCGAGATAAGCAATTTGATTGGTTGATGCTTTAGGACAAGATAACTTTAGTTCTAATTAAAAGAGAGTGATGAAACTTGGTGTATAGTTTCATTACATGAATACCTTGACTAAGTTCGATAATGAGCATTTTCTGCTGAGGGTAAGCAGAGCGATAAGCAATTTGATTGGTCGAGACTTTGAAACACAATAACTCTCCTTCTTATTGAGGTAGAATGTTCAAACTTGGTGTCAGCGTTTATTAGGTCACTGCATCGATGGAGTTCGAAGATGAGCATTTTCTGCTTAGGGTCAGCAATCTGATGAATTCTTTGGGGCACGATACCGTTGGTTATAATGAATTGAGAGTGATGAAACTCTTAATATAGATTCATTATATCATTACCTTGACTAAGTTCGATGGTGAGAATTTTCTGCTTAGGCTAAGGAGCGACAAGCAATTTGATTGTTCAAGAATTTGGAACATAACAACTCTGCTTTTGATTGAGGTAGAATTTTTAAACTTGATGTAGATATTCATTAGGTGAAAGTCTTGACTAAGTTCAATGATTAACATTTCGAGCTAAAGCCAAGCAGAGCTAAGCAATTTCATTGGTCGATGCTTTGGGACAAGATAATCTAGATTCTATCTGGTAGAGAGTGATGACACTTACTGTATAGTTTGATTGCTCGATACTTTTGAACAAAATAAATATGCGATTAATTAATGTGTCATCTTTTTTGGGTGAATTTCGGTGGGGGACATCAGCCTCACTGTTGGCTTGTTTTAACCATAATGAAGAAACCTGTTGAAAATTAAGGACGGTTCAGACAGTAGGCTGTTGATTACCAATAAAATGAAAATATCAATGAGATCTCTGATGAGTTTGGAATTGAATGTAATTGCCCTTTATATTCATAAGATCTCAAAGGAAGTTCAAATTTCAACTAGATTTAGCAATTATTTGCAAAGTTAATGGGCTCAGCTTAAAATTTGTCTAAAACTTATTGTTTATACAACAGTCTACATTTGCTATCAGATTTTAGTGAAACATCTAGAATGAAATTCAACTAGATTCTTCTTTTACCATACTGTTCTTGGTGATACAAATTTGTCATGGCTTAACCCATGCTTATATGTACTCAGAATATTTAATTAAGAAAACAAAATCAAAATACTAACGCTTGATAATGTCTGGCTTGGATTCATTCAGATTTAAGGCCCATCAATCAAATTTTTGCGGACACCAAATTTTGGCATGCTTATTACATAGTAAATAGCATAGATCAACGAAATTCCAATTCCACCTTGCTTTGTATATACTGAACAGAATTTTTTGACTGATATTCCTAATTAGAGCTTCACCTTTCACAATATTGTATTTTGCATGTGATTCATAGTGCTAACATGACGCAGCTTGTCAGATTATAATATTCTTGATATCTCGGAGGAGTACGAATCTCAACAAGATTCATCATGTATTTCTAAAGCTATTGCTCTTGACCTAGACTTTATGTTATTATATTTTTAGGGCTATCTCAGGTTATTGGAGAAGAAGAACCAGTGCCAGAAAATGTATTTGTAGAACATGGTGGTGGTGCCCTTCCTCCCACAGAACAACCTGCTGCTGATGTAGCTGCTGCTTCTGTTGGAAGTCATGGAGAAAGACAGAGTATTGATGCTATGATAGAAAATCTACAAAGAGAACAGGATCAGCGAGTGGCTAGAGCTGGGGGTGAATCCCTCGCTTCTCCTCCGCCTGCTGGTGGTTCACCTCGTGCATCTACATCTAGACATCAGTCAGGCCAAGGCAAGTAGATTAAAAGCATATATTGATAAGTTATTAAGAGTTTGCAAATTGTAGAATAGTCAAGATGAGTATAAATCATGGATAATAATAGCAGTATCTACAGCTGGTCAAGACAGCCATTGCAATCACTCAAATTCATGTTTAATAAATGCTTTGGTTAAATTCTCATGGCAGATCCATGTTTCTGAAGCTTTGGTAAAATAGGATTGTTTGTTATTATTACTTTAAGGTTTAGTTGGTATGAGACGCAGTGGAGAATTAGAAGGTGTTAGACAATCTTTAGAAAATGTTTTACAGAGAGCTACACAGAGTGATATAGCTGCTTTAAGTCGTCGAATATTTGTTCGAGGACTAGATCCAGAGGTTCTTAGGTAAATATGTGATAACAACATGTTAAATTTGTTTAACTTTTATTTTGAATTGCTCAATCTGTGCTTGAATATTTGGTCAGTTTGAATTTGTTGTGCATCAGACCATAACTTTTTGGGTTATGATGTCTGCCCTTTATGCAAAATGTGAAGTTTGTGGTAGGGTGCTCCACCATAAAAAAAATATCTCCAGATATATTGATAATTATACTGCAATTTTCATATATATAACAAACCTTAACTTACTTTCCACCATTTTTTGTCAGTAAGTAACAATTTATGACCATTTAAAGTGCAGTAAAATATCGTAAACTGAGTGTAAATATTTCGTCTGCCCATGGTTTGAAATTTGTCTCTCTATTCCAGTCTAATGATTATGATCGTTCTCCGTCTGATAATCAAGACTATTCTATACAAATCATTACAGAAAGTTAGAACAAGAAATGTAATTTAGTAAAACTGCAGTTAGGCAACTGAGCAGGTTTTTGTTGTACACCCACATTTTGAAGTGGACGTATATTGTTGTCGCCCCTGTCCGTCCGCAATTTGTTTGTGGACACTCTGCAGGTCAGAATTCTTATCCGATTTTGACGAAACTTGAAATATAGGTTTATCTCCAAAAGATCTCGATTCCTTTCGATATTGGCATGTATCGGATCAAAACTTTATAGGTTATGGCCCCTGATTGTACGAAAAATGGTTGTTTCTTTTAAGTACATAGTGTAAGGTTGTGGACCCTCTAGAAGTCACAGTTTTTATCCAGTTAGGATGAAACTTAAAATGTATGTTTAATATGCAAAGATCTTCGTTCCTTATGAATATTGCACCATAACTTCCTATATTATGGTCCCTTATTGTACGCAAAATTTTTATTTGATTTAAATAAATGTTTGAATATATCACTTCAATGATGGTTAATGATGGTTATATTCAAATTTCGTGAAAACCAGACCGAAACTGCCCAACAAAATGGCTGTTACTTTTATGCAAATAGTGTAAAAGTATGTGTAATACCAAGGTTATGGACCCTTCAGAGGTCACAATTTTAAGCCGATCTTGATGAAACTTAGAATATATGTTTATATCCAAGATATCTTGGTTCCTTTCGATACTCGTGCATATCGGACCGTAACTTCCTGGATTATAGCCCCTGATTGTACCAAAAGTTGCTTTTTGTCCCCCAGTTTCCAAGAATGCAAGGGACTAAAATGGGTCTGTCCATATGTCTGTCTGTCCGTCACATTCTTTAGGACACTATAACTTTCATTCTAATTGAGCTAGGATGTTCAAACTTGGTTTAGGTGTTGATTATGTGAATGCCTTGATGGAGTTCGAAGATAGCATTTTCTGTTTAGGGAAAGCAGAGATAAGCAATTTGATTGGTTAATGCTTTGGGACACGATAACTTTAGTTCTAATTAAGTGAGAGTGTATTGGTTAATAAAAATTATATTTCAGTACTCGTTCCAGGTTTATAGCCCTTCATCAGCTGGTATTTAACAAAACATAAAAAAATAATCTCAGGTGGTGGCTTATATATACAAATTTAGCGCATGCGCTTTAGTGAATATTCTGGATTAATAATCCCTGGATTGGGATTAAAAAATTATGTTTAAAAAAAAAGTCAATCCCTATACTGGGATTGTTTAGAGAATTATATGTAAAAATGCTGAGGACTTTTTAATCCCTAGACTGGGATTAAAAAGTAAATACAGTGGACTCTGTCACATCCGACATCGTACAGGATCGTTACAATAATTCGGATCACACAGTGTTTCAGCATACCGAGCTTTCTCCAAAACCGGAAATACTGTAACTTCGAAAACCGGAAGTATTATCTTGTAGCTTCGAATCACCAGAATGCTATTCCCTTTATAAATGATAAACTTTTCTGTACTTTCAAAATTTTATTACATTAAATAATTAACAATAACAATGCATGCGTACAATATATTCATAAAATCATTTACATGTAATATCAATACATGCGTACAATATATTTATAAATATCAATGCATGTAATCGTTTAAAGTAGTTTGCTTAAGATTACCGGAAGCATATCGTAAGGCGGAGTCCTGGACAACATTTTCTAACAAATTAATTGTTGCGATCATCTTTTCGTCCTTAATCTGTGCGAAGTGTTTAATTTCGTTGAGCATGCGTAGGCATTTTGAATAGGTCAAGTCTGTCGTTAATGTATATTCTTCTCCGTCTTCAGTCAATTGTCCACTTGTCTTCTCTGTTACGTGTTCATTTATAATCTGTCGTTCTATGTCCAGTTCATCGTCACACTCGGTCGGTATTTCACTGTCAAAATTTACAAACTCGTCTTCACTCGCGTTGGTTTCAGGCACCAAGGTCTCAGTTAGTCTTTCGAGTGGCACATTGTCATCTTCGCCATCAGGAGTTACGTCCACACTAAATCCACATCGATTAAGTGCTTGTCCACGAGAAAACCATGCAAAATTGTGCAAAATCGGGAAGGTGATGGGTCGGCCGATTCCATTCATATTCATAGGGTTTGGTCATGCCCATGAGACTACTCGATAGCCAAAACCGCTGATCTCAGAAATTGACCCTAGCCGAGATACGGCAAACATGTGTTTTTGGGGTTTTTTTCTCATTTTTTCGTCAATTTTAGGCAATGTTAGCTGCTGTTTTTCAGGTTGTAAATGAGTACTTATGAAATGAATGATGATTCGATATATTAGGCTAGGTAGTAATGTTTCAAAAAAAATGAAGAAAGAAAAATCTATCTTTCCACTCAGGGGTGCCATTTGGTTATTCCTGAAGTGTATAAATCAAACCTTATAAAGAACCCTAACTTAGTAACTGGGTATCAGGTCTCTCGATTAAAAAAATAAAATTTCATATGTCTGTAACTACACTCTCAAAAATAGTGGGTAATTTTGATAAAAATCGGATAAATTCGACAATTTTACGAAGCTTTATCCCAAATATTATCAAACTGATATTCAAACAAATGTAGTATAATACAGACGCCTTCACAGCTGCTATGTTTTCGCAACATAATGTTCATATGACAACTCTTACTGCAACTGGAAGTGAAAATTTGCTAAAATTCGCATTATTTCACTCTTAAATCTCTTGATATGTACAGATCTTGTTATAAGCTGCAGTTGAGAGAACTGTCATAGCTCACAGTAGTCATTGAATAGTAAAAGGTAGGCCTAAATCCTCAAGATTGGAAAATAAATTCTACACTCTAAAAAGTTTCAGGTCAGCACGACTAAAAAGGCAAGATTTTGTCTTTCCTTTCAATTTTCAGGACCGATGTTATCTTTACCTCTACCTGCGACCAACGAGTTAATCATCTATATTTAGACTATACCCTTCCTACAAGTAGTAGTCCTACACTCTTAAAGTACGGTGATCATTATCTTCACAAAAAGCCCCAAAAATAAACAAAAAATTTTTAATTCAATTGGCTTAATGTAGCAATAGGTGTACATATATATAAAACAGCAACTATTGGTACTAGTAGTAGATTAGTTTTATACATGTTGGTCCAACTCATAACATTTTTTTTAACTTGTTGTACGTAAAGCAGAAAGCTCAGATTGCTCTCTGAGGTAAGAATATACAATCACAGATTAAATACTAAATTGGGCAATGCCCGTTATTGACCTGGTGAGTCAATCCTTAATCCTCACAAAATATCAAATATATACAAAATTTACTTTCAGGAGGGAATACTAATCCTTACAAAATATCACATCTAATTACATTCATGAACCCTCCCAAAATATCAAATGTAATACAAAAACTACGTTCATAATTTTTCACAATATATCGGAGACATTCAATGAATCCTTTCCTTACAAAATATCAAATACAGTATTATACAAATTTACATTCATGAACCCTCGCAAAATATCATACAAAATTTACATTCATAAATTTTTACAAAATATCAGAAGGATAAAATAGTGGAAGTACCTCATGAATCTAATCTCCTCAGTGTATATCAGGATCTATCAGCAGGACGGTGTTACTATCATTGACAAATAGTAAATATCATCAGGACGGTGTTATAATCATTGACAAATAGTAAATATCAGCAGAACGGTGTTATAATCATTGACAAAAAGTAAATATCAGCGGGACGATGTTACTATCATTGAAAAATAGTTAATATCAGCGAGACGATGTTACTATCATTGAAAAATAGTAAATATGAACAGGACGGTGTTATAATCATTGACAAATAGTAAATATCAGTAGAACGGTGTTACTATCATTGACAAATATGTAGTAAATATCAGCGGGACGATGTTACTATCATTGAAAAATAGTAAATATCATCAGGACGGTGTTACTATCACTGACAAATAGTAAATATCAGTGGGACGATGTTACTATCATTGACAAATAGTAAATATCATCAGGACGGTGTTATAATCATTGACAAATAGTAAATATCAGTAGAACGGTGTTACTATCATTGACAAATAGTAAATATCATCTGGACGATGATACTATCATTGAAAAATAGTAAATATCATCAGGTGTGCAGGACAGTGTTATAATCATTGACAAATAGTAAATATCAGTAGAACGGTGTTACTATCATTGAAAAATAGTAAATATCAGCGGGACGATGTTACTATTATTGAAAAATAGTAAATATCAGCGGGACGATGTTACTATCATTGATAAATAGTAAATATGAGCAGGACGGTGTCATTGAAAAATAGTAAATATCATCAGGACGGTGTTATAATCATTGACAAATAGTAAATATCAGTAGAACGGTGTTACTATCATTGAAAAATAGTAAATATCAGCGGGATGATGTTACTATCATTGAAAAATAGTAAATATGAGCAGGACGATGTTACTATCATTGATAAATAGTAAATATCAATGAAACGCTCCCTCAGATATCACCAGTAATCACTCTTAGTATTTAGCGTCCGCATAATAAATCCACACTCTTTCAATAAAACATGCCCAGTCTCTTTAGGATACACAGTGAAAACG